CTGCTGGATCCCGCTCGAGGAAAGCGGGGGGGCTGCTCTCCCTCCGGCTTCCAGGCCGCCCCTCCTGCCAAGGAGATCTCCCCCCACTCCCCCCGCCAGCAGGAAGGGAGCTGCGGGTCCGGTTCTTCGGCTTTTCCTCGGGGAGATCCGGCTCTGGCGTCGCCTGCAGGGAGCGGATCCCTCGCTTCCCTCCAGGGGAGCAAAAGGGGCTCCCGTCCACCCAGGCTGGATCTTCCCCCCCCCCCTCCTCGCCTGGCCAAGGCTCCCCGGGGGCTTCCGGGTTGGATCCTTTGGGTAAGTTGCTTTCTGTGTGATCCGTCAGAGCGTGAGATCTCCGAGAATGCGTATCCCGCAAGTGCAGTTGGGGAAAATGGACTAAACGGAGCTTTAAAAGGTGTTTTGGGGTTTTGTTTTGTTTTTTTGGAGATATGCAAAGTGGAATTAACACAGACTGGTTTCAATTGCAACGGGGAGGCTGTGATGGGGCAGCCCCTCTTGGGCGGATCTTTTAGAAAGCTCAAACTTTGAGGAAGTTTTCAGGCGGGTCTTGTGAGCGCAGCTCCTAAGAAGAAGTTGGTGCCCAGAAGGTTTGCCTTGCACGGTTTTAAAGTGCCTGTCCAGAGTAGCATTTGGTGTGTTGTAAAGGCAAAAAAACCCCAACCTTCGGTGAGTTCGAATTTCCCAGCAATTTCCTTGTCACTGTCAGCGTTTGGAGTCTCTTTCATTTCTCTTTGCAGGAGACCAGTGAAGATGTGACTGTGAACTCCAGAGAGCTTTGAGAAAGGGGCGTTCTTGGATCAGATTGGCCCGGGACTCCCGTTCCAGAAAATTTGGAAATCTTGGCCTGGTTGGAGAAGCAGCTTCCTTCCCAAAATACCAAGTCAGTGAAGGAGAAACCAAAACCAGTCAGCAGTAAGGGTCATCCCTGGCCTTGAACTCAGAGAGGGTGACAAGTGACCCAGAGGCCTCTTAGCTGTAACTTTAAAGGTGAGTCAATGAAACGTGGTTTGGAAAATAAGCTTTTTAAAAAAATCTTTATGTGGCAATGCAATAAAATTGGGTTTTGCTGCCAAGGTGCAGAGCGAAAGGCATAATTTGTTTAATCTATATTAGTTATAAAAAGCGGTTTCTTACAACTAATATGGATTAAATGCTTGAGTTGGAGGTGGAGTTCTGGGTGGAAGGGCACAAAGTGGGGAAATCGCATCGGCTGGGTGGAGGCACCCCTGAAGCCGAAAGAGGCTGCCTGAGGCACCCCTGAAGCCCCTGCCCAGCCTTCATCTGGTCCCTTCATGGGGAAATGTTCTCTCAGCCCAAAGTGGGTCTTGTTTCAGGGATACATTTTTAGCTGTGATGTGTGCGGATTGTTCCTGTTTAGACCTTGTCCCATAATGCACTGGGGGGCTCACAGTTTAGTAACCTGAAGGGCTTAGGCCTTCTTCTAACGCTTAAACTTTAATTGAAATTCTCTGGATCATTTTGGGGGGCTTTTCCATCTGAAGCTATTCAGTGAGGGCCCTCCCACCTTTTCAGAAACCGCAGGATCAAATTTACCCCAGGATTAAGCCATGTCGCAGCTCAGATTGTTCCTGTTTAGGCCTTGTCCCATAATGCATTGGGAGTCACCGCTTAGTAAGCTGAAGCGCTTAGGTCTTCTCCTAAAGCCTAACTTTTAATTGAAACCATCTGGATCCTTTATTGGGGATCCTTTATTGGGGATCCTTTATTGGGGTCTTTTCCTTCTGAAGCTATTCTGTGAGCTCCCCTTTCTTTCAGCAACTGTAGGATCCAATTTACTCCAGGATTAAGCTACGTCACAGATTGTTGGCTTATTTTTATTTTGCTTCTATTGCTTTTGGAGCCAGTTGGGATAACAGACGGGATCATTCGTTTTCAATTTTGGGAAGCTCTGTGTGTAGCTTTATCTGCTCTGATCAGCAGTGATCCTTTTGGGGATCTATGCTGTCTCCCCTGAAGGAGGATGAAATGCCAAACCGGAGCCATTTTCCTGTCTGATCTTCTGGGGTTGAGGCTCTTATAAGATGATCCGATTGAACCGTTCCTTCTAATACAGAAACACACACACCGCTTTTTGTCTGGACCTGGCTGTGCTCAGGGCATCAGACGAGCAGCCTGGGTGGGTCCCAGGGAATTGGCCAGCCTCTCTCCCATCCTGGTAGGAAACGCAGAGGGATGGACTCAATTCAGACCCTCCCATGTCTTGTGCTAATCCCTGGGTTGTGGAAGAAGCCAGGTGTGGCCCCCTAAGGGAAGCTCTTGATGGAGAAGCCAGCAGCTGCTCCGTCCCCTTCTTGCCCAAGGCAGGTGTGGCACTTCCTACTCAAGGACCCCTGTGAGGCATGTAGGGAGGCAATGGGGCCACTAGACTGAGAGCAAAGCCATGATGGGATGGAGCTCATAAGTGGAAAAATCAGAAAAATCAAGAAAAGCAGAGAAAATATTGGTTGCTTTCACTAACCTCAACTCTCTTTCCTCCTCCTTTCTTTCTGCGATGCCTTAATCTTTTGGGTTGCCTGTAGGTAGTCTTCAACTTTTGACTACAAATGGAATTGGAATCTCGCTTGTTTAGCAAAGGGGTCACTGTCAGATATCACATGATGTCTTTGCTCAGTTAGTGTAATTCTGCCTTCACCATTACAGTTGTTAAATGATTTCACTGGTCATTAAGTGGATATAATCACGGGTTTGTCTTGGGGGTCAGGGGAGGCCATTGGAGTCCCAGCACAGTCCAAGTTTGACTTAAGGGCAGGGGTGGGATTCAAATTTATTAACTGGTTCTGTGGGTGTGGCCTAATTTGTGGCTGTGGCTTGGTGTTCATGTGACTGGATGGGCGTGATTTGTATGTAAATATATTTATGTAAACATTGAATTTTTTATTTAAAAAAAAAGAGCAACTACCCAAAAGCAGTCAAAGCAGGCAGGCAGATTGAGTTGCTTGCAGAATCACAGATTTACCCAGAGATCGATCTATCTGCAATCTGCTACTTGAGTCTGCACTGAAAAATAAAAGCTTCAGTCCTAAGAAGGTTCAGCTCTGCTTTTAGATTAGCTAGAAAGCAAGAAATCCAACAATGTCATGCTTTCTAGCTAAAATCTAAATATCATAGCTGATAGAAGGAAGAACTGATGGTGGGGGGAAGGAAAAATAGCAAATAACTAAATATTAAGTGAAGGCACAAGGCAGGCAAATTGGAAAGTGAGCATGACAGGTAAGGAGTGAGTGGGAGGGGAGGGGCCAGCCAGTGGCAGGATTTGCCGGTTCTCCGAACTGTGCTGAATCGTAACAACTGGTTCTATAGAACTGGACTGAAGAGGAAGAATCCCACCCCCTGCTTAAGGGATCATGGAGAAGATTAGAGGGGCCTCAGCCCACCTTGGAAACAGTACGGAACATGTTACTTCAGGTCTGGGGGATTAAGGCTGCCTTTCTCAGTGGCACTGGTGACAATGGGCTGAAGTCCAGTCCTGGAGTCAGTGGCAGATGGCTGAAACAGCTGAAGGCCCCAGGCCTCCATTTAAGGCACCGTATTGGCATTTCTGTCCCATTATAGGAGCCAGGTGGGGCAACTGAGGCGTCTGGGGGTGGCTGCAGTTTTGCACCCCACTGCAGCTCTCCTAACTATTGTGTGGCCAAGTGCTGGACCTCCAGGGTCCCCCCCACCCGCTTTAGGCACCTCTGCAGGTCTTGCCAGGGTCTCCCTTCACTTAACAACCCCCCCCCTCCCAAAAAAAGCCACTTAATGACCCAACAGTATAAGAGTTTACCTCCTAGAGATTTTGTGACTCTCTCTACGTTTCTGGAATGGAAATATTTTTCTCTTGCTTCTTTTTCCTTCCGACAGCCAATAATACACTGTGACCAAAGATTTACCTGGAAGACAACTATCAACAGATAATAGAATATCAGCATAAGGCAGCAGCCTCCAGAAAGCATGAAGCGTGGGAAGCTCTGGGATGCCCTGCCAGATACAAGAAGCACTCTGAAAAACCACCAAAGAACCCATGAATGCTCAGAGTGTGGGAAATACTTCACTAGCAGGTCCCTCCTTTTGACCCACAGGAAGGTCCATGCGGGAAGTGAATCCAGTCAAGATCTTGAGGCTGACAAGTCCTTCCCTGGCAAAGACACCAAAGATCTCAGAAGCCCCCCCACGTTAAAACCCTATAAATGTGTAAAATGTGACTTTTCCTTTGGTCAAAAGTCAGGCCTTCTTAGACATCAGAAAATCCACCCTGGAGAGAAACCTTACAAATGTCTGGAATGTGGGAAATATTTCCGTGAAAAAGCCACTCTCCGAGACCACGAGAGGATTCACACAGGGGAAAAACCTTACAAGTGTTGGGAATGTGGGAAGAGCTTTTCTTGGAAGTCAGGTCTTCGTAGCCATGAGAAATTTCACACAGGAATCAAACCTTACAAATGCTTTGAGTGCGGAAAATGTTTCACCGAGAGTTCGGGTCTTCGGTGTCACTGGAAAACACACAGAGGGGAGAAAAACGAAAAGTGCCTCGAATGTGGAAAATGTTTTGCCCACAAATCACATCTGATGCGACATCAGAGACTCCACACTGGAGAGAGACCCTATGAATGCCCAGAATGTGAGAAGCGATTTGTGGATTCTTCTGAACTACGGAGTCACCAGAAGAGGCACAAAGGGGAGAAACCCTATCAGTGTGGGGAGTGTGGGAAAAGTTTTATTTCATCAGGAGGGTTTCAGATTCATCAGAGAACCCACACTGGGGAGAAACCCTACAAATGTGAGGAGTGTGGAAAATGCTTTTCCCAAAAATTCTACCTCACAGCACATGAGAGACTCCACACTGGAGAGAAGCCCTACAGCTGCGTAGAATGTGGAAAATGTTTTGGAAATAGGAGCAACCTTGGAAGGCATCAGAAAATCCACACGGGGGAGAAGCCCTACAGATGCGTAGAATGTGGAAAATATTTTGGACTGAAGGCAGATCTTTGGAGACATCATAAAACCCACACAGGGGAGAAGCCATATCAGTGCAATGAATGTGGAAAATTTTATCGTACCTCTTCAGCCCTTGGAAGTCATGTGAAAATCCACACGGGGGAAAAAAATTACAAATGTTTGGAATGTGGGAGGACGTTTGCTGATTCTTCTTCCCTTAGAAGGCACAGCCGAATCCATACAGGAGAGAAACCTCACAAATGCTCAGAGTG